CTATTATCTGTACATGTGTGCCTTGATGCAGCAATAAAAACAAAATAATGACCAGCTCAGCCAGTTCCTTTCCCGAGTACAGGAAGCTAAACACACACTCCCCGCACGAAATCACTTGCTTGAAAATATCTGTGGTCACATTCAGCACAAGTCATTATGTTAAAAAGTCAGCACTAAACATGGTCAGTTTTCATTACTGGATAGATGTAAGTTAAAATACATAGAAATCTTACACAAAATCATCAACCCACAGCTGCCAGCGGATTCAATCTGCACTGAAAGTACATGCAACTGATACAAATATCACTGTTTCACAAGGATGTTCTAAATCTGGGGAAACCAGTGTCTAATGCCATCGTTGTGCTAACGCCGTGTTGCGTGATTTTTGAATATCCTTGCTTTGAAGCTAGGTCACCGAAAGTAAACTGGAAACTGGGAAAACCTAATTAGGTTATCTGTGCCAACATGACTTACTTCCCTTTGACCAGTTTCTCCCTGCACATGGGCCATTCAATCGTTACCACTTGCAACTTTTCGTGTCCTTTTAGAAGGTCTCCATTCGGCTTGTCCCGGAATGACACGAGTTGGTCACGAACGCGAATTACACCATTACGACGGCTGAAGCGAGGTGTGCACTATTAAATGCTGATAGAAGGTTATCCTGTGATCTTACGGTATGTATACAACATGTGCTTTTCATGTTAAGGAAACGGTGTGGTGTATGACGAACGGTGTGGTGTATGACGAACGGTGTGGTGTATGACGAACGGTGTGGTGTATGACGAACGGCGTGGTGTATGACGAACGGTGTGGTGTATGACGAACGGCCTGGTGTATGACGAACGGTGTGGTGTATGATGAACGGTGTGGTGTATGACGAACGGTGTAGTGTATGACGAACGGCCTGGTGTATGACGAATGGTGTGGTGTATGACGAACGGTGTGGTGTATGACGAACGGCGTGGTGTATGACGAACGGTTTTTGCTGTATGACGAACGGCGTGGTGTATGACGAACGGTGTGGTGTATGACGAACGGTGTGGTGTATGACGAATGGTGTGGTGTATTAGATCTTACATTTGGCAGCATGCCACATCAGCGGTAGACAGATAGAGTTAACGATATTATCAGCGGGGTTATGCCAGATAAATCAATGATTGTTGGGCAACCCCATCCAGCACCCACTTACAGCCACACAGCGCGGATACAGCTCAGTGGTAAGCACAGGAACTCGTTATTGGTCAGTAAATAAAAATATATACCCCTTAAGTGTAAGTAGAGAAAAGGAGCGTCACTCGCCATCTTGCCGGTTTGTTTACATTCGATATCCAAGGCGATTTATTTTATTATACGCTTATTGACAAGCGTATTTATGGCCGTAGATTGATCGATAACACATTTCTACACATGTACCAGTCATCTACATTCGATTAATGTCCCTTACTTACCGAAATATCGACAGTTTATTTCGCGAGCTGGGAAAATGTTACCAACCCCGAGCGGAAGTAGATTTTAAACGCGGGCAGAATCGAGCGAGCCACCTGATTGGCTGACCTACTTATGTCAGGTCAGCGTGAAAACAACAACACATGTGCAACCCTCGTGGGTTCAAAATGATAGCTTTGACTGAAGAACAAGTGTTTTCATTGAATTTGATCAAAGATGGACACAACACTCTAATTATTGTCCAGGCTGGCACAGGAAAAACGGTTCTCATCAAGGAATTCACGTAGAGATTGAGGAGAAATGGAAGACTGGTGTCTGTTACTGCTAGCACTGGTTGGGCTTCTAAACAGCTTAAGGGCACAACTCTTCATGATGGGGCTGGGCTGAGTGATGGAAGACACAAACATCCTGACTTATATAAGATACTTCCTGGTAATGAAAAGAAGAATTCTACAGGAGGATTAAGGAGACTGGTGTGCTGATCATTGATGAGATAAGCATGATTAGTAGAAAAATATTTGAACAGGTAAATATGACATGTATTATATGTATATACTCCAACATTTCCATCACAAATCATAATATTAATAGAGTTTAAAACTAGACATGTAATCCTCAACATACCATAACAAAGGTATTTTTTAGCATGTTAAAATGTAGGAATTATTCTCATGAATATGGCAAGTCACAATATTAATATACTTATTATAGTAGCTAAGACAAGGTTTTTACCAAGTTTGCCACTACACTTAAAATACTGGTACTTATTTTTACTTATCTCCTCAAGACCCATGCCCAAAGAGTTATATTCTTGTGGAATATTTAATACATGCCTATTCCCAATGTTCCTATTATTTTCTTGTTAACATATGCTCCACGTACACAACTTATACTGTTTAATTTCAGCTTGAATTCATATGTAGGAGTATTAGAAACCCAAGTTTGAATTGTGGAGGATTGCAGATTGTGTGTGTTGGGGATTTCTTTCAAATTCTCCCATATGCCAGTGACTTGTACCAAGATCCTGGCCAACATCCATTCACAAGTGATGTATGGATTGAAACAATAACACACAAGGTTAGACTGACAAATTTTACAGTGGGGCTACACCAAAGCAAATACCTACAGTTCTGACATGTTACTATTGACTTTACACAATTCAAAGATAATACGTTCAAACAGTTAGCAGAGTATGCAATTGGTTCCTCCTCAAAATTTTGTTGAACAATATTTTCTTTCTCATCTGATATTCTGTTAGCAGGTTAGGAGATATGCCCTGACAGTATCTTGTCATATTCAGTATTGAAGAGAACGAGTTAAGGGATTTTGAGTCGGTATGTATAGACCGAATCCCAAAAGTGTCATTTATTACTGTACCACTGACGGAAAGATGTACATGCCCATCAGTAGAAAATCTCACTTGTAAATATATCATGTTCCCATTACAGGATTATCCTGTCAACAGTTATAGAGTCTTAAGTTGGCTGCAGTACAAAATAGTCTTTTGGAATGTTATCAGATATTGCAGCAAATTCAATGTTTTGTGTCTGTTCAGATCTCACATTGATGCCACGGTAAACAGTGATGGGTTTTTTGTCCAATCACCAGGTTTTCGGTGCCTAGTTGTGGTGATATTTGGAAAAGCATTTTTTATATATTTTCCGACAAACTCTTTTGATCTGTGACCAAAGTTGCCAAAGTTGCCACCAAATTGCTATCTTCAACATACTTTTCATGTAACCTGTAAGAATGTTTCAAGAACTTTACATAACTGAAAATTGAATTCTTGTAACATCGCAATATAGCTGCCATTGGTAAAAATTCAGAATTTCATATTGTTATTATAATGGCACATCATGAGATTTGGGTGTGTTTGTGATATTCATATAATCATGTAATGTTGTAATTTACTTTTTATTCTCAAATAGATTTATTACTTTTGCCTTTATGATAAATATTAACTTGAAATGTTCACTTTTCAATCAGCATGACCAGTATTCATAATGTGATCAGGCACAGGCGATATACATGAAAATGTGCCTATTATATTAATACAGTGATGTATTGTTTAAAATTAGCCAGCTAATAATAGATTAGCTTTAGATGACAAGTATATTATAAAATGAAAAACATATTCATAATAAATATTTACCATTTGTAGAAATTATCTGATGCTGCTGTCACTCCAGATAACTGTCTTCAAATTTCGCGCTAATTTCTTTAATTAGAGCGCTGTGTATTTTCAGCCAATCAGCTGGCTCGCTCGATTCTACCCGCGTTTGAAATCTACTTCCGCTCGGGGTTGGTAACATTTTCTCAGCTCACGAAATAAACTGTCGATATTAAGTAAGAGACATTTATCGAATGTAGATGACTTGTACATGTCTAGAGTGAGTGAGTATGGTTTGACGCGGCTTTTAGCAATATTCCAGCAATATCACGGCGGGGGACACCAGAAATGGGCTTCACACATCGTACCCATGTCGGGAATCGAACCCGGGTCTTCGGCGTGACGAGCGAACGCTTTAACCACTAGGCTACCCGACCGCCCGAACATGTCTAGAAATGTGTTGTCGATCAATCTACGGCCAGAAATGCGCTTGTCAATAAGCGTATAATAAAAAAATCGCCTTGGATATCGAATGTAAACAAACCGGCAAGATGGCGAGTGACGCTCCTTTTCTCTACTTACACTTAAGGGGTATATGTTTTTATTTACTGACCAATAACGAGTTCCTGTGTAAGTAAGATCCCGAAAACGGTGCGACTGAACTTGATTCCGAGCTGAAAATAGTTTCAATAAATCAAGTCGAAGAAATCGCTACGCGCACTTTTTACCTTCTTTCTCTACTTGATGAAATTATAAAAAATATGGTTTCAGCGGATTTAAAAAATCCTTCAGGTTGTCTCAGCAGTCAAGAACATTCAGTCTCTGTTTGCATGGTAAACTCCCGTGCATCTCCATACTGGAATGTGTGATGAAATTAATAAAAAGGAATAAAAACGTTGCAATATTATTTTTTATTTAAAAATACTTTGTTTGACAATAATGGGCGTCATGTGACATGCCAGTGTGCGTCCAATTTTGTGTCACCTATGCTTAGCTGTAAAACCAACTTGTGTTTTGTCGGGTTTCAGGCTTAATTATATTTCATAGCAAATAATTATTACGGCATATACAAGGTAGGCACTGTTCAGTACGCCATTATACTAAACGGTCTTGTTAAGCATCAGAAATAATAAACGGATTTGATTTAAAATATTTGTGTCTATTGGTGTGTATTTAAAATTGGGATTGGGCGAGTTGGATTCAACGTCACTATGTAAGTGAAAATTATCTTGAATCTGATGTTAGGCAACACGTTATAAATGAAGGTAAAACAAACGTTTACATAATACACTCCGAATATGCAAAAGTATATCAAAAGTATGTCAAAAGATAAAGATAAAGTCCGATAGAAGATCTGATTTCAGGTCGACATTTGTTAATGTAACTTTTGTGTCGTTTCAGGCTAAAGAAGAAAATGTTAAAAGAAATGGTAAGGGTTTGTGTATGCCTTCGAAGGATCATTTTTGGTAAAATACTCTAATCGCCAACACAGGGTGTCTTTGAAATAGCTTCTGAAGGTCTCTTTTCACATTATTCACATAGTATACGCGCAGACCATATATACATTTTATGTACAACATACATACACCTATTTGGATACATAGCAGCCACAGTCATATCTTTCACTCTATTTCTGGTTCCAGTATTAAAGTCACACAGTTAATTACACCAAAGTGTACATAGAAGCAATGACGTCTATGTAGCCGTCATCATATAGTCCAGTTATATGCGCCATCAATATACAAAGAGTGAGCGAGTGAGTATGGTTTTACGCCGCTTTTAACAATAGTCCAGCAATATCAAGGCGGGGGACACCAGCAATATAGGCTTCTCACAGTGTACTTCGACGTGACGTGCGAATGCTTTAACCTTTAGGCTACCCGACCACCCAAATATACAAAGAAACTTGCTTCATCATTATATATTTTCACAGTGGTAATTTGCTCTGTGTGTGCAAAATGCAAGGACAAGAACATAGAAGTAATTTGCAGAATGATGGTCACAGTTCCGATCTAATTCTTTGCAAAGGTAGGTTTGATACATTATCTCGTTATTTATTAGCTAGTTATATAAAGAAAATGTTCATTAATATCAAAGACAAAATCTGTTTGATCTGAGAATTCAAACGGCAAAAATACGATATTGCAAATAGTTTATTAATTTTCATAACGTAAACATGGTCAGAATTACACATCTAATTCGAAGCTTAGAATCACTGCATACTATTTTACAGAGTTGTGGCCCCAATTTGTCTGATATATGAATACTTTTATACCATGTCGTATAAAGACGATTTAAACAAAAGTCGCAGAGCTCATTTAGGTAAGAGGCATTTTGGTCATTGGATGCTAACTGAAATGTTACGTTTTCAGTATGCTTAGAATCCAGCCCACAAGGGTGCAAGACATATATACTTAGCAATGCAATCATACAAGATGAAGTTGTGTTCGCGTGAATAGAAGTATTTCAGCATATGTTCACAGACAAGGATTTATTTACCGAAGAAGCACTTCCCTTCAACATGTACAGTGCCATGTACATTCTGGTGGATGAGGTGTTAATCAGTGTGCTCCTAAATAAGAGGCGTGCGGTAGAGACAGTGGAACTATATTTTGAAGGTGCTGATTTCCCTACCTTTTGGAAATGCTTCAGTTCCTCGTAAATTCACAATCTTAGTAATTATAGTTTAACAAACAGTTTACCTGTAAATTTCTTTGAGGGGCATTTAGAAGTTGTACTAAGTAAGGATAAGATTTATGGATGACCAACTTCTTTATTACAATTAGGAGCGTCGTTTCGATGTAGGTTCTAACACCGTTACTTGCTTGATAACGGTGTTAGAACCTCCACCGAAACGTCGCTCCTAATTGTAATAAAGAAGTTGTTCATCCATAAATCTTATCCTTACTTACCTGTAAATATTGAAAATTGTACTCCAAAGACATTGGTGTCAAGATATACCATTTTTTTCAACTGGTGGGGATGTAAAATGACTATTTCATGGAAATCAATCGGGTGGTGCTTCACTGTTATTTGGTAAATAATGACAAACTAGGTCTATATAATGAATGTCAGTTTAGCAATTCACAAAATATATTTTCAGTACTTTTTATACTCACAGGATTTGCAGAAGCAGGAAATCGAGTGTTCCTGATAAATAACCTGGATGACGACCACAAATTTAAGACATTGTTTTACCAACTGCCACAGGGATGTGCAAAGATATACACAGAGATTGTCATATCTCAGTCCCCAAAGAACAGAGCATGGTCCCCAGTCATGCAGGAGGAAGAAGAGGAGGAGAAGACAATGGTGGATGAGGAAGAAGAGTGGATGGAAGAGGAAGAAGATGATATTGTTGATAATGTTGCAAAAACCGTTTCAATGTTAGATCCAGATGCGGACGGCACATCTGAACAAAAGGGAAAACCTGCAGGTATGGCCCAGCTTTCGTTTTTCTTGTATAGAAAGTTGATGAAAACTATAAAGAATGTGAGATAATCAGTCATGAAAACAAATAACATTTACGTTATGCTTCCTTCGTTGTAGAAGGGAACAATGGCGTCCAGTGTTTGCAATTCGGGTCACATTGCAAGATGACAATCAGTGCACAGTCAAATCAGCTGGTCATCGCCAAACAAGATGGCAGTCACAATATTGTGAACATCAGTGTTGGTGTGTATTACTGAAAAATTCCTCGATTTATTTAACATGTTAAGATTTAGACATAAGTCCATTTAATAAAGGATGTTTCTGTTTTAGTCTCTATCCCATGGCAATGAACATATTAAGAAATAATTATTGACAAACTCACACGTGCTCAATTGAGTAATGACTCCCTGAGAGCATCCAGTCACCTACCTACCCTTTCAATGATAGAATGGACAATATAGTAACATATTTATAACAATGTTGTTAATACTCAAATACACAGAAACCATGACATGCTTTTTGTCAAATACGATGTATATCTCATTGAGTGAATTCTTCGCAACGAGTGAAAAACTTCACGACATGAGATTTTCATCTTACCGGACTAAAAGCATGAAATAGTCTATTCATTATATACATGTTGATGGTAAAATGCCTCCTTTATAAAGACTTGTTATCAGCAGGTCATGGTCACGTCGCATTCTCAGTCACAACAGTGATTCACAGCACGTACACAAAATAGTTCGTCATCAAAACTTTCACAAACAAATCATCACACGCAAATTATCTTTTTTATAACATTTAATATTTATTGATGCTTTTCCATATTTGGAAGAACAAGGCACCTGAAACAATATGTTAAAGCTGTTTCGTGGTGCGCCATTAATACCATAAACAACTCAGCGACAATCATGAACAAGTTTTATAGCCCGCTTCATTGGACGTTTGTGGAACAATCATGGACAAGTTCCATAGCCCGCTTCATGGGACGTTTGTGGAACAATCATGGACACGTTCCATAGCCCGCTTCATGGGACGTTTGTGGAACAATCATGGACACGTTCCATAGCCCGCTTCATGGGACGTTTGTGGAACAATCATGGACACGTTCCATAGCCCGCTTCATGGGCCGCTTGTGGAACAATCATGGACACGTTCCATGGCCCGCTTCATGGGACGTTTGTGGAAGAATCATGGACAAGTTCCATAGCCCGCTTCATGGGACGTTTGTGGAACAATCATGGACACGTTCCATAGCCCGCTTCATGGGACGTTTGTCGAACAATCATGGACAAGCTCTATAGAACCGCTTCATGGGACGTTTGTGGAACGAAGGTCAAACACGAACACAACAGACAGCATGGTGTCAGTTTTGTATACCATTAAGGTAAAAGGTAACGTCTCACACCGTCACATATCGCTGTAATACGTTTTGTCTGTCTTGATAACGCCTGCTAGTTTCGCGAGCTTTGGCATCTTCGGGCTCGGCTCGTCCGGTTGACTGAGAGAGGAAGTTGTGGCACTGTTGTCGGTTACGGTTGAAGTTGCGGACAAGCTGTTGGTAAGCTAAGCATGTCAGGTGAAAACCATGCGTGAAAATGACGCATTGAGTTGTTCATATTTCGATCAACAGGGAATGACTTTTGGGAGGTGGTTGCAGTGCAGCTTGCATCAGACACGATGCTTTCTCATATTTTACTTTATATTAGCTGTTAATATATTTAAGATTCGTGTGTTCTAAAACCACGAGAAACGGGTAAGGTGTAAATACACAGTCACAAATTATGTCATTTGAAAAACGTTAAACATTAATTAATAAGTGTGAAATAAGGAGTAACAGCTAGAATATGAAAGTCATTTTGCATCAGAAGTAATAATTCAGCATAGAAAATGCTAAGTATATTTATGTTAGCTGTCATATTAGAATTATTAGAATATTCATGAAACGAATAAGAGCCCATGTTTTCAACAAAAATTATATTACAGTATCCTAAACATGCTGAATAGTAAATATATCCGCCCTTGTATATTTTACTTCAATGATCCCACTTTTGATTATATATTTTGAAGTTATAAATTTAAATCATATTAAAAATCAATTCATTAATGACCTGTCATTTGGATAATTCATTTGGGGATATGCCACTATTTGTCAATTGTAAGTTATGTTTACTGCACATTTCTTCAGATAATCATCTTTCCAGTGCCGAAATGTAGCGTACATATCATCTACATTGAATGAATGCGGCTTGTTACATTGCCTGAACCCAGAGTTCCAGCAACATGCATGTTTGTTGCCCTTCCCAATTGATTTTAGAAACTTACTTTTTGATTTCAGTGTATCTCTGGATTGTTGCAAGCAGGTGTCTGTTATGCTGCTTGTGCCATAGATAGCGCTCATGTGATAATTGAATGCCTTAAACTGAACATGGCTTATATTCCTCTCCATCCTCCCGCCTCACAGAAAAGAAGAATTTAGACAAGGATTCCTCATTGCACTCTCCCAGTTTTCATTTTGTTGCTGCAGTAGAAATAGACCCACATCCTCACTTGTGATTTGTTTGTGTAATTCCATCCTTTAATTATGTTGGCAGTCTCAATCAAGTAAAAGTTGACACTTAACATTAAGCAGTCACTATCACCAGGTGAAACATTGTCATTCATCTTGTTTTGCTATTTGGCTTCCTCTATCAGACGAACCAAGGGAGACAACTTTTAAGGGCGGTAACTCTGGATGAAAGTAGTTTCTTCATCACAGGGCCATGAAAATACTATTTTATATTTTCACCCTAGTGAAGATACTTGTCTTTCAAAGGTATCTTTAGTGAAAATACTGGTTTTTATTTTCATGACAGTGAAATATTACTTTTGATGACAAAAGAGACTTTTATTCTTTTCATATAACTGCATTTGTCACACTCACATAATTTTTATAAATCATATGATAAGATTCGGCTTCTTTTGCGAACATATTCATCCATTTCAAGGTTGTAGTCATTTGTTTGATATATGTGAAGTTTGACGGTTGAAGTGTGCATATGGAATGAGGTGTTATTTGCTCTCCCTTATCCTCCCATTCACACATTGCTTTACGTGTGGTTTTCATGTTACAGAACCGTCCCCTTCTTCATCCAAAATGGTTGTGGTGATGACATCCAATCCTGACAATCCAGACCTGGAGGGACTCCTGGTTCATGAGATAGACAGGGACACAGACGTGCTGAACATATCGCTCACCTCTCTCGAAGCTGCTATCGTTGGTGTCAGAAAGGGATCTGTTGTCATGGAGATTGAAGTGAAATCTGGTCAGAACATGAACCCTGATTGGATGAGTCAGGTTCTTCAGACTATCCTCAAGGATATTCTTACCCCTGACGTTCTCGGTGAAACAAAACTACAGGTTGACATCAATACACTCAATGTTATACCCAAAGAAAAACTGGGAGACTATGGTACGGGAATTACACTTTAGTTATCATGCACATATCATTATCATAAAGCAAAGGACCCGTGAAGATCCGGGATAGAATAGGTCTTCAGCAACCCTTGCTTGCCGTAAACGGTGACTATGCTTGTCGTAAGAGGCGAGTAACGGGATCGGGGGGTCAGGCACGCTGATTTGGTTGATGCATGTCAACGTATCCCAATTGCGTGGATCGATGCTCATGATGTCAATCACTGGGTTGTCTTGTCGAGACTCGATTATTTACAGACCGCCGTCATATAGCTGGAATATTGCTAAGTGCGGGGTTAAGCAACAAACAAACAAACAAACCAGGTTGTACATTTGCGACAGCATGTCCGGTTTATAATAATACACACACGCATCGGATGTTGATTTTTTTAGGACATTAGATCAGTGATATGACTTAGGCGACATTTAATTCTACAGACATCTATCAAAGAATATTACAGCATGTGGCCTGGTCTGAGATGAATCATATGCAGCAGGATAGCATAGTCAGGATTTCTTATTTTCCCGAACTGCGCTGTTCTTACGATGTTGAAAAACATTTAAAGTCTTACTTCTAAAGGTAATTAGCATTTAGGTCTGGAAGCAGATTAAAGAACCCTTTACATTTGAAAGGAAACTGAAGTGTACGGATTAAAAAGATCATCATTTCGTTAGATAGTTAAAATATGAAACAGTAGAATACTGTGAACAAATCGGTCTGTGTTTGCATGCTTGCAGTTCTTCTGCTGGACCCTGAACGAAAACATGAAACGTGCGTAAAAAAAGAAAAGGTTTGTAAAGGCACTTGAGGTTTTAGTTAAATTGGAAGATGGGCAAAACGATTAGATTTTGTCAATTACCTTTGAAAGCTGATAGCATGGCATAACCAAGGTTTCCTCAAAATACCCATGGAAGGGATTGATATCTTGGTGGGTTTTCATAATTAGTTAAATTGAGGAAAAAGAATGTCACTGAATATCTTTTTTCAAATTCAATATCATTATGACTGTTGCAAACGCTATCTATAGTGTTAAATGAATGAAATATATGAAAATGGCCATTGACACTTTTTTATGACTGAGGTAAACTTTATATGACAACAATTAGAATATTCACATTACTTTGTTCATATCATTTGAGAAAATTATATTTTTCAGTCATCACTTCAAGATATGCAATTTGTGTTTCACCAGGACATATTGTCTTTTAGATCATCCAGCTTTAATGTAAAACAAATCATTTCATTCCACCATTTTAATGTTATTGCAAAAAATGAGGACAAATGTTTTTTTCTACCATTTTCTTTAAAGAAATAAACCCAGCTACCTATTTGTAACGTCTATATATTCCAGTACCAAGCCCTTCAGAACAGACTTGAAGCAACACAAAACAAAATGAAAGGTAATACAACTTTCCATCGAAGTGGGGCGGGGGATATAGGAACGGAGTTTGTCCGTCCGTCCGTCTCCTCGCTTCTCAATGTGGACAACTTTCTCAAAAACTATTCATGTTAGAGAAATTTTACACACTGATGTCACTGGTCACGATCTCAAATGAGTTCGGAAATTAGTGTCGTGCATTCATTTTTTAAAGAGTGATGGCCCTTGCTCCATGTTATTTCACTTGGTTCATACATAGTGTGTTCAATGGGGACCACTTTTCTCATAAACTACTGAAGTTAGCTTATCTAAGAGTTACTTATCAAGAATTATTTTTTCCAGAGAAGGGGCCTTTTATGTGTAATAACGACCCCCCTTAATCTGTTTTCTATCTCTTCTTAAAGTTTTATGGGACTCTTTTCTGTAGTTCAAATTCACTACTATATGAACAAACACTCTTCTAATGTGACCCGTGGATACTGATAACACTGTTTCCTTATTATTACTGTTGTTGTTGTTGTTGTTGTTATGTAACATAGTTAAAATGGCACTTATATATATTAACAAAGGCCTGCAATACCTGCGTAAACATACTTACACGAATAAAGAAACGGACCATTACATTAGATACAAGCTCAATTTTCTGCTATGTTTAGAATCAGAGAATGTTCGAGTTGTCCAGTTAGTGAACCACACCCACTCCTCCGGGGGTACTATTGTGCTGGTCAGCGGGCCTCCCGTCCATCTTCAAGGTAATCTCAATATATGATATATGCCCTTTAACAACGACTGAACTTTAATGGAAGTCAGTTCGTCTCCCTAGCTAATAGATAATGTTGCCAAAGAACAAAAAGTAGGGGATATAACTGAGAGAGATATTTTAAAATTTAATCGCTGCAATTTTTAATTAACCGCAGTAGCATTCATCAAGTTCAACTTTTTCTGGTGATGTGGTCGATGGGCATTCACTAAAGCGATCACAATGTGTGCCCTTGAATTTTGTCGGAGTATTGCTGACAGGTGCAAATATCGACAATAACTCACCTTTAACAAGTATTGTATAGTTATCTACTCGGTGTAAAACTTGTCCCGACGTTTTTGTTTCTACATACACAAAATGTCATTACTATGGCGACATATTTCACATCATGGGCAAATTGGTTGTTGCATGTTTTCTTTTCCTTTCAGACAAACTCCTGGCATAGTTTTGAAGATGTTGTCGTGGTCAAAAGGAGATAGCTGTACCACTCACAGAACAAAAATCCTTGGATATATCTTGGCAGTCGTCACTGATGCTGTGCTGGGCTGAAAAAACGTTTTTGATCCGTCACTGACGTTTGTGCCATGAGGACTTTGAAGATGTTGCCCATTACGTCCCAGCAATGCTATAATGTTGCAGTCAGTGCAGCTTCCATACTGTGGTGTAGCAGTATAATATTACACTCATATATACTGAATGGCACTTGGATTCGACAATAAAATGTAATTATGTTGTACTTATTGTGTCCCGAGTTACATTTCTTAATTAGAATCTTAAAATTTTAAGGCACGCACAGTTCAATGTACATCTTTTCTCATATGAGGTCGACCACATACCATTAAGATTTATTTCTAGGATGGGGGAGGCTCTGGAAGTCAGAAGGGACAAGCACTTTGGGGGGGGGGGGGGGGGGTTGTTAGAGAGAAACGGTCGACTAATCAACATCATGGCACAATTAAGATTTCATGCAGATAAATGTCACGATATGTTGTTGTGGGTAGCTGGACCACTACACGGTGGGGTTTAACCCCATAACAAAAGAGATTGATGACGTCATGTATTTATTGATAGGTACAGGGAATATTCCAGATTATATTTAAATGACAATTATTATTGGGTTCATCAGTCCCCTTTGTACCTTACTTACAACATGCTATTTGAACAAACAACAACAGTATACAACTTCTAAATTCATACAGTTTATTCTCTCGTTTGTAGTTGTTCCCTCTGACAAGGAAGGCCTCAGATGACATAACCATATATGTAAGCATCACATGACAAACTTTAGGGAAAACTTCATTCCTTGATCCATGTTTTTGTCACAAAACGTGGTGACCATAGATACAGTTACATAACATCTTCAGGGGCCACGGCTGTTTATTCCCACTGTTGGCACACACTTTAGTTAACCTGCCAACTAGAGCACTCAACACTTGGGTCATCATGAATTATTTACACAATTACTTCTACAACGGGGCGGTCGGGTAGCCTAGTGGTTAAAGCGTTCGCTCGTCACGCCGATGACCCGGGTTCGATTCCCGACATGGGTACTATGTGTGAAGCCCATTTCTGGTGTCCCCCGCCGTGATATTGCTGGAATAGTGCTAAAAGCGGCGTAAAACCATACTCAATCACTCACTCACTCACTTCTACAACAAACTGTTTGAGTAATGTGTTGACAAGCGTATATTATGTCTTGCCCGGGAAGCTGTTGGAAATATCAGTTTCCGTAGTGGTAGGTCACATTCTTTATCAACTGAGAGACTTTCTTTTGCACACAGTGTTAAGCTATGATTTCATAAGCATGACTGGTCTACCGGACCCACGGCACGTAACACAAATGTTCATTAATTATATCTAAGTTAGTCGACACAGTTTTAAGGCTTTACTGTTCGGCTCAGCAAGTGCACAGTTAGACACAGCTGTGAGGTTGAGGCCAAATTGTGCTTCCCGTCTTGCTGATCTACTGAACAAAAAAAGTTCCTGTGACATTGAATAAGATTTAATGCAAAGTTATGTTTTTTACCAAATCTGAAACAATTTCGGTTTGCAACAGATAAAAGACTTCTGTAAGTGTTCAAATGGTTTAATTTGCCATAATGACTTCAGAAAATGCGTGATTTCATAAAAAACAAAACAACCATGAACATGACAAAATGTCAATTTACAAATCAATAGCGTGTGTGTCAACCTCTGGTTGCGATGCAAGCAACACATCTTCGTCTCATTGAATGGACCAGGCGTCGCACAAAGTCCTGTGGAATATCTGTCAATATCTGCTGGAGCATGTTTCGAAGTTCCTGGAATGTCTGTGGAACACGTGGTTGACGTCGAAGGCGCCGATCCATCTCATCCCACATGTGCTCGATTGGTGAGAGATCAGGGGAGAGAGCCAGCCAGGGGATGACATTCACGTTGTTTTATTGAAGAGAATCCTGAACAAGTCGAGCAATATGAGGCCGGGCGTTGTCATTTTGGAAGGTAATGCCTGGGCCATGACGACGCAAAAACGGTTGAACAACAGGGCCGATGATCTCGTCGCGGTGGCGCTGTCCATTGAGATTTCCGTCTACCACTATCAAACGGGTTCTCTGACTTGCTGTAATCCCATCCCATACCATAACGCTGCCGCCCCCGAACCGATCTTCTTCCATGACACATCGCTGTGGCTGAGGTGAAAACGTGACTCGTCAGTGAATAGAACTTGTCCCCACTGCATGGCCGTCCCTGTAGACGTACTTGACGGTGGTTTCCTGTCAAAATGGGACGTCTGGTGGGTCTTCTGGCGACAATCCCTGCACATATAAGGCGACGACGTACGGTTTGTGAAGATATTCGTCGAAGGCCAGGGATGCTTCTTGCAGTCACTGTTGCTGGCTGGAATCGATTTCGTAGGTGTGTTGTTCGAATCCAGTTGTCTTGTCGAGTATTGGTTACGCGTGGCCTGCCACTCCGAGGATGGTCTCTGACTGCATTCGTGTGTTGCCAACGTTGCCAAATGGTGTTTCTGTGGACGTTAAATTGTCTTGCAACATCACGTTGACTCGATCTTGCTTCAAGCATACCAATGGCTCACAGACGCTCATTTTCGGACAGGCGTGGCATTTCGTAATGTTGAATAATTGCGTAATTTTGTTGTTTTTATGAGTGGTTGTTGTCAGCACAATGCTAAAGAATGCATATGGAATCCCATTAACGCACATGTTTTATACCCATTCTTGGGCATAGATCCACGCAATTGGATACGATGACACGCATCAACCAAGTCAGAGAGCCTGAGCACCCGATCCCATTAGCCGCCTCTTACGACAAGCATAGTCGCTTTTTACGGCAAGCATCGGTTGCTGAAGTCCTATTCCACCCCGGATCTCAATGGATCGGATCTTTATTGTAGTACAAGTTTTGGTTAATGGCAACCACAGACAGGTTTCTATGGTGACTGCCTTCTGTGAACAAACGACTGAGGTTCCTCACTCTAGGATTAAGAAAGTTATTACTTTCAAATTCAGGAAGCCCATGTACAAATTCTGCAAGAGGCTGTACACCTTTGCTGATGTACAGAGGCTGCCATAGTTTGTACTGGCAGGTTATCTGCTGATGTGGAGGTTGAATACCGGACAACTTTACCAACTGAACTAGAAATAAAGGAGACCAGTGAGACCGCCTCATCAGTTTCCTATTTAGATCTATGCATAAAGATTCAAATTCAGATTCAAAACACTCACCACAAGACTGTGTGACAAGAAGGATGACTTCAACTTTCCAAAAGTCAACTTTCTCTTCATGTCGAGCAATATTCCAGAAGCTCCAGCCTTTGGTGTTTACATTTCACAACTTTTGAGATACTATCGAGAAAGCTCTGTCTACCAGGATTTCAAAGATCGTCCTATGGTAGACGTGTGGACGACATTTCCAAATTTAACACATCAGTGACAAAAATGTCTGCCACAAACCCGATTTTGACTTTACCAAATGTTTCCATGAACAAGTGACTTCCCTTTGCATGTGTTTGTGACGTGTGCCACCGGTGAGGCAGATTATGCTTACGTGGTATCATCACCATGTGACATTGATTCATGAACACATGCTCATGATAAGGCAAAAAATCAGGATTCTATGAACTATGGTTATCTTCATGCCCAGGGATAGGTCAAAATTTAAAGTTTCTATACTGCACTACACAGAAATCAACTTCTCTACCAAGGTTCCTTTCAGATCTTCCAAGATCTAACGGGATCGGGTGGTCCGGCTCGCTAATTTGGTTGAAGCATGTCATCGTATCCCAATCGCGTAGATCGATGCTCATGATTTCAATCACTGGATTGTCTGGTCCAGACTCGATTATTTACAGACCACCGTTATATAGCTGGAGTATTGCTGAGTGCGGCGTTAAACAACATACAAACAGTATATTATTATCCAGAGACAGCACACAGAAATACACAGTTACCTCCCTTCGACTTGTTCTACTTCTTCAGCCGAGCATACACACGGCCTCGAAAAGTTTGTACAACAGCGACGGCCCACATGGGATGGATATAGCCTTGACACTAGGACAGTGTGCACTCCAGGTAGTAGACCATGGCACATAACTCTCTACTTTGTAAACATAGGGCAGAGATAAGAACAATGTTCTATTGTACATGATTATGCACTTTTCTTTTGTACATGACTATGCACTTTCAGGCGCGGAACCAGTCAGGCGTTGAACGGGTAGGTCACAGCGTATGTCGGAGCGTATGGTATATCAGTCAATCAATAACACAAGGCTGAAAACAGTTGCATGTTGTGAAATAAACATTGGTTTGACGCGTGTAATGTCGCCTATGATACCCGTATTAAATACATCGCTATCTATAACCATTTGTAGATATCAAACAAACATAAGTAGGTATTATTTGGCCCGGCAGTTTAGCTAGATGTATAGGATAAAACACGTCCGAGGGTTATGATATTTAAAACCCGCATTTTCCGAGGGAAAGGGTTTTTAAAATCATAAGAACCCGAGGGGAAGTGTTTTATGTTACTTATAAACCGAAAAAAGAAACTTTAAAAATCATTTATCAATATTTTTATGTGTCGAACATACTTTCCATGAACATTAGGAAACGGGCGTAAATTATCTGTTGCTGGCTTACGGATCTTAAAAAGGACATTCTTAAAAGCAGTGCGACTTAACAACGTCTCTCTCACCTAGTGGAACACTCACTGGGCTGCAGGTACGAAGGTTGCGCGTTCGATCCTCGGGAATATAAAGAAAATATTTGTCATTTGATTTTACATTTCATTACATGTTACAATCTGAACGGAAGTTATATAAATAAAATCCCAGGGATATTATAACACATTATATAGCAAATGTGACTTGAATATCCTATAAAATCCCGGGGACATTACAACGTCCGTTTTTGAGATTTAACCCGACTGGAGAACAATAGGATGACGTCAAAGGTGGTTTATAAGTCTTATTACAACAGAGGTATAAAACTGACCGGGTACTGTCTGAGTTATACCCCTTATGTTCTATCGTGAAACAGGACCGTCTCCGTGGTCTAGTGGAGAGGGGAAGGTCAAGGGTTCGATTCCTGGCCACATCACACACTGCCTGGCGTTAGGCATTAAGGGGCTAAAACAAGGACTGGTCGGCTCGGAGTCAGTATACTGTGTCTGAGTGGGGTATTCATGTTAAAATGCGGTATGGTATCTCAGTGAGCTAGCACTATAAAATCGGCATTAGTCCGGACTAGTACAAGCAGATACATACACGAGCATGCACGTCGCTATATAAGTGCAATAATCTTGGACGCGACGTTCAACCCCATTTCACCTCACCTCACCTCACCTCACCTCACCTCACCTCACCTCACCTCACCTCACCTCATCCCACCCCACCCCACCCCACCCCACCCCACCCCACCCCACCATATGTGGTATAGACTATTACTTATGTAATCATTAAAATCATAACATATCATTGCAACACAGGTACATATATATCAATTTTTGAAACCTTCAATAAAATGTATAAGAGAGTGTATGATTACGTTTCCTTGTGTTGTCTATGTGTATCAACTGATGGGTTTTATATGATTATGTGTTACTTATTAATTGAGATTGGGTACGAGTAAACTGCGACTGAAAAACATACGCTTTGTATCGTAGAAATAAATCAGGTCCCGCTACAACTATCGTGAGCCCATGTTAAAGTATGTGTGTGTTGCGATTATCTTAGAGGACCTCTGCCCCGATACATGACGTGTAGCTCATCTGTCCTTGTAAAGTCGGGGTGTCAACAAAGCAGAGTAAGTGAACATGCAGTGGAATCACTTAATAGTTGAATCATGCTTCAAATGGTTGATGAATATGAATTAATTTTATATCGAATATATTCCCCGGTCGCCATGATAACTATAATATTGCAGTCTGCACAAACACGTAACATTTCAAATTAACCTAAACCCAATTTCGCCATTATTGTAAAATAACGGAGCCTGGTTCCCACAATAATGTCAAATAATATATATACATATTAGTTTCAAATGTGTTGTTATTTATTATTTATTTATTTGTTTTTTAAATTTATTTTTATTTATTTATTCTTATTTATTTTTTTTAATTAATTTATTTATTTTTTATTTATTTTTTATTTTATTTTATTTTATTATTATTTTTTTTTTTTTTATTTTTTTTTTTATTTAAATTTTTTTTTTTTTCGGGGGGGGGGGGGGGGGGGGGGGAGAGGCACGGATGGCCCAGTCGTCTAGGTTGTCAGATACGCTGTGCAGGGTTGCGTCCCTTGGGCTCGCCAGAAACCTATGATTGTGGGTTCGAATTCCGGTTCGCCCAGATTTTGTTTCTAGGTTTGTCAGCACCATACCCATGCACGTGGGTTTCATTAAAGTGTTAAACGTCTGAGTCCTGCATCACTTCGGGCTTTCCTCCCACATTAAACTGACACGTCGTGATATAACTGTAATACTGTTAAAAGCGGCGTTAAACCAACCCACTCACTCACTACAGTTTTCGGTACTATATGATCTCCTTAATATAATATGTATTACTGTCTTTCAAAACGCGCCAGGATATTGCATACTTTGTCACTGGTACAATACACAGGTGACAATTTACTCGCTCCTTCACATCAACCATCAAGGATGTTTCTATCAACTTCAACACTGCTGCTCATTGTTGCCGTCATGCAGCCCGTGGACAGAACGTCCAGGAACGTCAACTCCCTTCACGGCATCGCCTACATCTCCCTGACGACGGACAACCTGACGGCGTCCACGCAGTTCTACACGCAGGTGATGAGTATGGGCGTGTACTATTTTACATATTTCAATAATTAGAATAATTAACTGAGCTACTGTAATGAAACAGGGGACGGTTTAAAGTCTTCATAAACTTAAAAGTGAATTTCGGTATAACAAAACGAAGGATTACTCTTGACGAGGTAAATATGCCGAAACAAGGACCCTCGGACCCGACACTTTCCGAGGGTCATTGTTTTCGCATATTAAGACCTTATCAAGAGTAATTATTTGTATAATAAAGAATTGTAGGGAAAATATTTAAAATCCGTGTTGAATGTGGCTGTGGATGTGGTTGGCATGACCAATGTGTAACCAATGATTCGTTCATAGTATATGTACGTCAGGCTTCAAGATAGAAACTCACAAAAATAGTCACCGCAGGTTTTATGTTTGGTGAAATGTAATTATTACAAGCTTTGGTTCATTTAAATTCTAAAAAAGATTTAGAATAACACAGATGCACCACTCGTAGATTTTTGATTGAAGTAGGCAGATATAGAAACATAGCTGGAATATTGAGAATTTGTAAACGTTGTAATTTCAATGTATGTTGAAGATGAGTCTCATTTTCTGTTTGTTTGTTCAAAATACGAACACCTAAGAATTAAATATACATATCTGCAGTGTTTACAAACATTTGTATCCATGATGTCGACAACTGAAAAGTCTACTTATCAAAGTACAGCAGCGTTCATTAATCTTGCTGTGTTAATTTGAATATGAATTGTTCATCATATTTGCAACCACACCCGAAAAAAGATTTGTACTATGGGCCTTTCAGTGTGGAATAAATGCATCAATCATTGCAATCAGGTTCTTGGTGGGATGCTGGTGCCCGAGCTGTCCTTCACCTTCAGTGGAGATTCTCACTACTACCGGATGTTCCAGAAGGAGATCCTGGACGCCAGAACACAAGGGGTTAACCCTGCCCAGTTGGGAGTCCCTGATATAGGGGATAACGGTACTCACGAGGTCAGTTTATAGGGATGACGGTACTCATGAGGTCAGTTTGTAAGGGATAACGGTACTCGTGATGTCAGTTTGCAGGGGATAATGGTACTCATTAGGTCAGTATATATGAATAACGGTACTCGTGCTGTCAGTTTGGAAGAGACAACGGTACTCGTGAGGTCAGTTTGGAAGAGATAACGGTACTCGTAATGTCAGTTTGCAGGAGATAATGGTACTCATTAGGTCAGTATATATGAATAACGGTACTCGTGACGTAAATATATAAGAAATACCTGTAGTCGTGAGGTCAATATGTAGGGGATAACGGTACTCATAACGTTAATACATAGGGGTTAACAACACTTATGAACAGTATACTCTAAATAATCCGACGCTGCTCGGGTCAAGGGAAAAAATAGACAGTTTCATGGATGATTCACGCAATTAGTATGTAATCGAGCATATCAATAAAGGAAACAATTAAGGATTAAGCATGAACATTTAATTGGTTCAATGAACATAAATCCTCTGTAAGCCTTAACTGAATGTTTATTGAAGGTTGTATTTCACAGAGTGCACTGCATATTGGGAATACATGTGTACACATGAGGTCAATATATAGGGTATAACGATACACATGAGGTCGGTATTGAGGGTATATTACGGTTTTCATGGGGTCGGTATATAGTGGATAACGGTACTCTTGGGGTCCGTATTAATGGATTACCATAAGGTCAGTATATAGCTGTTCCCCTATAAACACACAGTATCCTACTAACACAAAAACGATGTAATCTTTAGGGCACTAATTAGAAGGCCAGATGACGAATCATAAGTATCATATATTTTTTCATATTTCACCTGACACATATCATCAAGATGCGTGAAGGAAAACTTGTGTGCAGTGATGACTGTAAGGATACGGGGCGGTCGGGTAGCCTAGTGGTTAAAGCGTTCGCTTGTCACGCCGAAGACCCGGGTTCGATTCCCGACATGGGTACAATGTGTGAAACCCATTTCTGATGTCCCCCTCCGTGATATTGCTAAAATATTGCTAAACACGGCGTAAAACCATACTCGCTCACTTACTCACTGTAAGGATACCGTTGCTTCTAGTCACTCTCAAAGGGAAACTATGCCGTTCACCGTCCAGATCACGGCAATGTTGGTGAAATTAAGATAATGCATCAATGTAAATGGGGTATTCAGTTAGTGTTATCTTTTGGGGCACAGGAACAACTCGTAATGACTGAAATGTTCGTGGCTTCACAGATCTCGTGTAATGGGGGGTTTCAGCATGTGTGGAGAATATCATCAAATGGAAAACACGATCACCAAGTCTGATAACTGCAACTGTTTTCGAGAAGTCATTTAGAAAATTTGACAGGGGCGATGGAACCTTTGAAAATGGAGAAAACTGAGAAACGAATCATATGAATTACTACCCCTATGGCCCTTACTCTTCTAAACAAGTATTCTCTGACTAAAAAAACGAATCAAACCTCGTAATATGGTTTTTACCAGTAAAGACGAGGTTATTGATGCCATCATGACCTCATTTGTTTATATTTATTGTTGTTTAATTCATTTTTTAAATTTTATCATTTTTTTTATTTTTTATTTTTGCGAGGGAGGGAGCGGGCTGCTATGGGGCAGGGATTGCAAAGCTGGAACATCTGAACATCATATATGTGATATATCATACATACATGCTTTGGGATTTAACCAATCACTTGCATGGTTATTGTACTATACAATCATCTTTGACTTCCCAAGTACCCATCAACCTCAGAACAGTCTTAAGCATACAGCAAGGCAATTGGAGTTTTGATATATGATATGGAAATGGAATGTTTTAAGCATTTTAGGAATCTTCCCTTCATAGTATAGGGAGGTAATGATGTCCTTATCACATTCAAATAAATCCAGAAAAACTTCGTCACATGAAGGGACTATTAGTGACACAGGATAAATGGTAATATGCGCTTTTGTCTGCGGGTGCGCGGCAACTTCATCATCTTTGACAACGGCATCATCCAACTTGTAGAGTATGTGCTGAGATCATCCTCATCTGACATCGTCTTCGACATCCGTGACCGTCGCACCAGCCCCTGCTACATCGCGGCCCCACACATGTGTTTCTAGGTCAAGGATGATGTCGATTTCAACCACTATATTGCGGAACTAGAAAGAAGGTCACGTGATCTTGGGTTCCATCAGGTCAAGGTCAACAGACCAGTAACAGTTCACAACGAGGCTGAAAGACAGGCCGTTCCCGAAAACCAGCTTGGTATTACTTTTGACAGCGGACCCTTTGCTGGTTTATCATTCGCCTACTTCAAGGGACCGAGGGGAGAGCAACTGGAACTGTCCCGAATTACAAATCAAACACGATACCATCTTGGCAGTGATTACTGCCGACGACAAGGCGTGGCCACAGCCTTCTTGGACAATCACCCTGACAACAGATGGAAGAAAGCTGCAGGAGTCAGTGGTCAACTTTACGGGCTGTTTCATTTTGGGACAAGAACAGATGACCTCCTGAAGTCTATGAACTTCTACACACAGGTCCTTGGTTCAGAGCTGGTTCATGAACCTTTGCAGGGGATGAACCTTGGAGGAGATGAGCTGGAGAACATGATGTTCCAGAAAGAGATTCTTGATGCGGAATCCTGGGGAAAGGAGCCGAGAGATGTGGGGATTGCAAATGTTTCTTTGACAGGATCTGACAGACTTCATCTAACGTTCAACCTGTTTGATAACAACGCAGTAGAGACTCTGGTGTATACAGCAGGACAATCTCTGTCAGATCCCAAGTTCAACCCCAGATACAACTGGAGCAGCCCTGCCTACATCAACAACATGCACGTCGCCTTCTTGGTTAACGACAACATCGATCTGAACAATTTTCTACATGACACAGAACTAAAAGCCGCCAGGAATAGATTCTCCGAGTTTAAGGTCAATAGAGCAGTTGATGTGCCGACATTAGGTGCTAGCGTACCCTTACCACAGTACAGTGCAGAGTTCACTGATGGACCTCTGAAGGGCCTCAACTACGTGTTTGCTAAGGGTCCAGCAGGGGAGCAGCTATCCTTTGTTCAGTTCAAGGGTCCAGCAGCAGCCAAACTGAAGTCAGCCCTGGTGCGATATTCGGCCGTCAGCACAGCTTTCAAGGAGACGAATCCGTGGGTCAGAAATGAATATGACTCGTTCTGTTCTAAATACCCCAGCAGCTCTATTGTTAGCTAAACCATTATTCAGAAACAAACCTGGTTTATCGAAAAATGTATTTTATGTTAAGCAGGGACACGTCGTCAACAAGATGAATCAGTTCCCTGTTAAGTGTTTCAATCACTTGGTGGTGTAAGACCCGAGTGTCAGAGCCGGGTGTCAGAGCCGGGTGTCCCAGCCGGGTGTGTATAGCCCCCCCATCGCGGGATTAGAAGGGGCATTGTAAAACAGCAAACCATATAGCATCATCCTGATGGAAAGTCACCATCAGGGACTGGTTGTGAATGTTTGTGTACAGACGTTGATTCAGCCGGAATCATGACCTTTTTCGACACAGGCATACAATTAATGGAAAAGAACATTTCGAGAGTGAACAATGCTTGCATACATTTTCAACGTGACGTCTACAACAAGCAAACCTGTCGAGCAAGCTTGAAGCGTAACTCAGGCCATGTGGTCAATGGGGCGAAACGTCCCCGTCTTCTGTCACTTATCACACTTATCAGATGACAACACACGACCAACCCAGTTAGCCACATGTTACTGACGCGGGCAACCAAACTGTTTAATCAGCAATGCTCGACTAGTGCCTGTTCGAACCCTTCTACAAATAACAGGTTTGATAGTTCCCTGAGGCGAAATGTAACTAGGTTTGTGTGAGACGAGTGGCGGCTCTAGCTGGGGATGTCTCGACAACAACACGAAGACCCAACTTTAACCAGAGTTTTCTTATGAATATGTTTTTATCCTTAACTGCGATGAGTAAGAAGATCAAGGGGGAGTGGTTTGGCAATTGATAAAACCCCACACGTAGAAGTCAGTGCTGCTGAGTATGTTCCTCTAGCAGGTAGCAGTTACATTCATCTCCTTTAATTCATTGTTGATAAGAAAGCTATACACAACATTAAGAACGATAGTAAAAAGATATTGTTATCCAAAAACATTTGGTCTATCTTGTCAGCCATCCAGCCAGTCTCGTTTGAAAGTAATGGTAACTTAGTGATGTCCAGTTTGAACTTGAGAAGCAAAACAATATGTCTGTAAATGTGATTGGCTATGGTGGAATTTCCCTTGCATCTTGCATTTTATTCACGTGATATATTTACTGTTGCTCGAGTAAGAGGCATTTCTGTAAAGAAAAAAACATGTACCATTTCAGAACTTGAACAAACCATGCAAGTGTTGTAACCGAAAATATATGTCAAGTGTTAATTATGTTTTATCTATGTATTAAGTTTAAACTTTGTATATAAGTTGCCAGTTCGTTCTTGATATTCACGCTCATTTGATCTGTACGCACCAGCTAGTCCATCATCAACTGTGTTGTACGTGGGTTTGTACGTAGTGTTGTGACAAGTGGAGAAAACTGATTGTACTAGTTGTACTACAACTAGAGAAGACTGTTGATTTTTGTAAGGGATAACTGATGTAAGTACTCATGAGGTCAGTATGTAGGGATAACGGTGCATGCGAGGTCAGTATATGAGGAAAACAGTACTCATGAGGTCGCTATGTTAGGGGTAACAGTACTAATGAGGTCGCTATGTTAGGGGTAACAGTACTCATGAGGTAGCTATGTTAGGGGTAACATTACTCATGAGGTCGCTATGTTAGGGGAAACGTTACTCACGAGGTCGCTATGTTAGGGGAAACGTTACTCACGAGGTCGCTATGTTAGGGGTAACAGTACTCATGAGGTCGCCATGTTAGGGGTAAGAGTATTCATGAGGTCGCTATGGTAGGGGTAACGTTACTCATGAGGTCGCTATGTTAGGGGTAACAGTACT